CATTCTTATAAGTGTCTTTTATCCGCACACCTTCACAATGGCCTCAGCGTCAGGCATCCGCATGGTCACACACAGCAGAGGCCAAAATTGGATAAAAGTGGGGCGGTAATGGAAGTGACTAAAATGCACCACACTTTGACATAAAAATTCCCAATATGGAGAATGACTCTCAGAAATGTGTCACATTTTTTAAACAAAAGGAGGACAGAGTTCAATGGGGTACAGTTATGAAGTTGTAGTGACTTCTCTGAAAAATTGTAAATGCACAAGGAAATATCACTCGTTAGAATGGAAAATCAACTTTTTTTTTTGTGAAACTTAATCAAAAACAGACCAGAAGTCTTGACCTGGACTTTTCGCCCCCCTTCCTTCCCCCCTCCCTCCTCCTCCTCCTCCTCCAATCCTGCAACACTTCACTCTTCCCCTTCCCTCACCTCACCAGTTGTCATCATGTCTTGACGCCAACTCTTTATTCGTCTCTAAAATACAACCTCCTGTACATTGATAGTAAACAAAAAGATCTTAGAAATATTTCTTGCTCTTTGCCTTTTGACAGCACGATCGGATTGTATCCAACTTAAATTACGGTGCAACAGGGAAAGAAAAATTTACACCGTGAACGCTGAAATCTTTAAGATGGAGACCTTAAAAATCCTTCCTTCTTACACCTTACAAGTGAGATTGCAAAGGAGCTGTTTTTGGGGTGGTAGTAAAGCAGGGCAGATGGATGCAGTATATGAATAGAGCCGGATGAGATGGAGTGGATTTATGAGCTGAAAACTTCCAAAGCGAGTTTTAGATGGTACCAAAACAAACAAAGTTTCTTACATGGTGATGAGTTGCAAACGCATAAAAAATTACTGACCTTCAAGTTTGATCCACTGAGAAATATAGGATCGGTGCATTCACTCTTCACCTCTTCGTCTGCCTCTCTCATGTTCTTTTGCGCTTGACTACTTAAACTGTCTTTCCTGTGAATCACTTCAGCGGGAATATAAGGGTCAGTTTGAAGATAATGCTGCTGTGAAATGGGTTCTCTTTGACGAATGTAGACTTGTTGTACCTCACCAAAGTGTTGTAAAGGATCATCCCGAAAACACCAACTCCATCCAACTACACGAACTGAATTTGGCTGCAGTGCAGAAGTCTCGGCTCCCTGAGGCGTCAAACAGACATGGAGACATTCACTAGCGACGAAAAAGGCGACAGTCCACGAAGATCCACCTGCATCTTCAGCACACTTAAGAAAGGATCTTTCCTCCGTCAAATCGTTGGGCAAAATAAAAAGACCAACTCTGTATAGGCGGATGCCTTTTAAACAAATAAATATCAGTCCTCGATGGAAGGATTCTGTCCAACTTGAAAAAATTTGTGCATTAATGTCATCAGGTAAATCGATATGACCGCCACTTTGGTGTACCAGTAGGTCCAATCGAGGACTGACTTCAAGAGTAGAGTTGACTAGCAGCTCAAAGGAGACCAAATATCCGAGGGTTTGGTCAGTAGACTGACAAGAGAGATTGAATGAAGCCCTAAACTTCAAGTCAACAGTCATTTCAGCTTTCCAAATCTCGCCACCATACACAAAGCATGAAGATTCAAAGTGATTTTCCTTGCTTAGACTCAGCGGTAGACTTAAACTAACCTCCACGTTTGCCAACTCCAATTCAACCAATAGGCAGCCATCTTCATGTACAAAGTTTCTTTCGTTTATCACTGTCGCCTCAATAAGGCAACCACTTCCTCGACTCATGTTCTCGCGATTGAACAGGACCTGTTTTTCAGTGAATGTCTGATTGTCCGAGAAGTGATTCAGATTGATCACAGTAAAAATGAAATCCAACCAAAGTGAAAAGTCCTCCTCCGAGGAAGCACCTTCTGTCACTCTGCTAGGTATAACCAACTCTAGATAGGCGCCTATATGCAGTGAAGTGCGCACCATCCTCAAACGCCACATATGATTGCCATATTCGAAGGTGGCAGAGTCCACTTCACTGATAAAACCACGAACCAAGCATGCCGGTAAGAGGAAGGTGAATTGGACATTTTGAGCAGTAAGTTGGGCAAAACGAATTAATCGCAATTGGGGAGAGGTGGAGAGACTTGCATTCATGGTCCCAGTCGGCGACTCATTATTTCCCCACCTCCCCAAGTGGTGATGACTTAAAAGGTCAACAGTACTGCGTTTTGATTGGGTGTAAGTCGACCGCCAAATGTCATTGGTCAGTAAAGGACCAATAGGTCTTTAATGTCTCCTCAGTAGCAGTACTTGAATCAGTCATTAAAGTGAGGATATTGAGGAGGGATTGGAGGCATCAAATTTAGTACTTGATGAGAAAATATGCAAAGAGGTACAATGAAATTAAATTGATTGGGTTAGATTCCACAATGAGTACAATCTGAGTAGTAAACCGATGGCGTCTTTTACATAAGCGTTTCATTTGTCATCGAGTATGCATAAGCCAACGTTTGGGTCTTCTTTCCTTAGTCCGTCTCGCAGATCTAATCAGCCGATCAGAAAAATGTGTGAGTAGCGAGATAGAGGAGGAGGAGGTAGGAAAGAAGGAACTTCTAAAAGGCCAAAAAGCACAATGAACTTTTAAGCTATGTCCTCTTCTGACAGAATTGTATGCGAATTTAACATCTCTTTAACCGCACAGATTGTGTCTGCAACATTCCAGCCCTTCTCTATGGTATGTTTACGGCTTCATGACCACCTGTTAGCCTCATCATTTTTTCATGAGCTTACAATAGGAGAATAATAAAAAACGGTATTACTTCCACGGAAACCCGTTCAAACCCACCTGGTGTTTGGATAAGGGAATTTCACATTCCGTCAGTGGCTGAAATCACTGTGGGAGTCTAGCCCATAACATTTTTACTGACCGTTATCTGGCAATTAGAGAAAGAGAAAAAGGAGAATAAAGAAAGTGCTACAAGTCAGTAAAGTAATCGTCAAGGTTAACGCCACGGCAACTCCAAAATATGCGAATTCTTATGGATATTTTAACTCCACCAACGGAGTGTCTCTATTCGAAACATGGCAAATGTTTATTTTAATCCCTTACTTGAGAACAATCCGAAGGGAACAGACAGATTCTGTATAGATGTGTAGCCAGGTCCAAGACATGATATGAACACATAGTTGTCCTGGCCTGCCTAAAGTGTCTGTCTAGGCTATGGCGCGATTTCACGGTCGTTCTTCACCCTCCCTTTGTAAAAGACGTCACCAATAACTTGATCGAAGATTGAGGTTAGCTTAAATTACTTGTTGTCCTTTTGAAATCCACAAATGGAGGCAGTATATTGTAGTACCACTTCCCTCTGAATGATTAGTGGGAAAAAAGCTAGGGCTCATTATGGAAATGCACTTTTGTAAAGAGAGGAGGGAATGGACGGCTACAGGCAAGGGTCAGGAAGCCATTTGTCAAGGTGAAAATACTAGTCATTTGGGAATTAATGGGTACACGCTATCAAATATGCCTCCAAGCCTCGTTAGAACGACAAAAAAGGTGAAGGGGAAGAGGGATAAGGATTTACTTTTTATAGTCATTTTAATGCTGGACAGTGACCTACTTGCTCTCCTTTATTAGCCTCCTGAAGTCTCCGTAGGTCCCAAAAGGATGATGTAATCGGATAGTTGACATCCTCAATAACAGTAAGATAGGAGAGCTGGACAATTCCAATGTGACCAAATGTCTTCCAACCCTGCACAGAGGTTGTCGAAACAAGTTACAATGCCTGTGGACCTCACTGGGTGCAGATAAATTCCAACCTGTAACCAGACCGGGAGAGTTGTGGTGGGAACCTTTGAGGTGACGGACCTTCCAAGATTGTAGCACTCAATGGACTACCAATCCCGTCAAGGATGTCCGAAGCCACAGGTTACAAACACTAAATTTGTGTACGATGACCTTTTGTCAACACAAGCTGCTAAGCCCATCGCCACTCCGTTTGTCTTATCTCGGTTGACAGCCTAATAACACTTATCTAAGGTTGACAATATCTCCAAGGTCACTAGACTGTTGTCTTAGTAAAAGCATCGAGTTTTCGACTGTTAAGGAACAAACACTGCTAAATTTTAAGAAAAAAGCTTTACAAAAAGAAAGAAATCAAGGCCATTTCAGTGGACCAACCAACAGACGAATGCTTTGGACTACAACAAATTCATAGTACCGTCCTAAAACCCGACCCTGCGAGGTGGCACTACTTCAAGTCAAAGTCAAAGCTGCCCTTTTTGTTGAGAAGTTGTCTCCCAAACCCTTTTTGCAAGAAATCCAATAGCATGTTCTTGGATGATGTCCATTTCTGGTGGCAGTGATTTGCATGAGCACCGCCGTGGCCGGAAATTCAGCCAAGCAAAGAGATTTATCACTCACTGACCTAACAAAGTCGGATAAAATTATGCCTGTTTACAGCAAGATTTCATCTAGGCTCACATAAACATGGCGAACAAGGGAAGTTTGTGAATTCACCTTAAAGTAGGCGTAGAATGAAAAGAACCAAAGAAACTTCAGTTAGTCACATTCTTTTGCCTCCTACTTTTATTGCCTCATCGCCTAGTCAAAATGGCGTTGAGACCGTTTGACAGTGAATCAAGTCAGCATCACCTTCTCACCTCACTTATTAACCGCTTTCCTCAAGACTGCCGTAAAACCTCCTCACATTCGGCTCTGCTACGATGGTCTATGGTACCATAGCTTTCTGAAACCGACTTGTGCCAAAGATACTTCAAGAGGACAATCACTGTGCAAATTGGTCAATTGCTGTCAGAGGTCTAATTTGTACCATACGAAAAATTTACCTTCCACATTTGGGACTGGGTGAAATTCAACCCTAGAGGCGTGGGACAAGGAAAGAAATGGTCATTTTAGGACCACCAATGACATGCCTACCCATTCGCATCTCATGTGTATTTGTAAACAAACAATTCGGGCTAAGAAAGCCCAAAAGGCTGGATAATAAAACAGCAAGTGTCCATAAATGATTTTCCTTCTCTTCCTGTGCGTGGTAAAGGTCCACCTTTCGGTTTCCATCTGGCATAAACCCTTCCAGTTGCCAAATGACATTCCATGTGGTGGGAATCCGTACTCATAATGCCCTGGTTCGTGATAATCCTGATCACTGAAAGCAAGAGGTCGTGCTAGGTTACTCATCTCTGCACTTCCATTTCTTCCTGGGACGAGAAATACCGCAAGAGCATTTAGGGGTGGATTACCCTATGGAATGACACACTGCCTTACCTTCTCTTCCGGCTATCAAGCCCACCTCAAGTTTGCTTTGGCAGCAAAGACTTGAGACAAGATTAAACGTAAATCTCCTGTAAATTAGTGTGCATCCGCTGAAGGAAATGGAAATGTTGAGAAATGATCTATGAGATCTATTAATGACCATAACTTTCACATTTCCATTATGGACTTCCTTGGACTCCAAATGACCTTGTTGGGTGCTGTATTGTTAATTAAAGGGGAATCCATTACTTTAAAAAGCCAAAGAATTGCAATGAAGATCAGCTTCCACTGAATAGGGCATAGGCCACCAATAGTCCTGTCATTTTGAGACAAGAAACCGTCTTTGTTTACTCAGCTTTCTCAAATACATCAAGGGTTCTGAGGTTTACTGAGATGTTGGAACGAAATTCTGCCTATTTGAGAGTGCTAAACATTTCGGGCTGTTTGCTCGCAAAGACTGCCATCTTCCGCCTTCTCCCTACTTCGCGCAAGAAATCAAATATTTGTAGCAAAATATCTCCATATGTTTAGTTTGGCTTCCAAATTAGAATTACCGACCAAAGAGGAAAAAAGTAAACTTTTCACCTGGATCATTACCCTAGAGTAATAAGTGCTTTTAATTAAGTAAATTAGATCTCCTTGCGTGACCCAATTATAAAAGTTGTGAAATGGACCTCTGACATTAAGTAAGTACAA